AAAGGACCAAGCATAGTATCATAAAAAAAAAAAAATTGGAGGTTATGCAAAACAGGAGAAAAAAAAATAGAAGGATCAAGTAAAATTAAAAAATTATCGAAGAGATCCTACATGTTAGAAAAGGAAATTAATTAGTATAAATACTTAACATTATTTTTCCAGTTTAATTTTTCATATTTTACATGGGATCTTAGATAATATAAATAGGAATCGATTCACACATAAAGATTAAAATATAGAGAGCAGAAACCCTAACACAAGAAAGAGAGAGAAAAAAAAACATAGCCATTCGATTTGTCCAGTAGAAGTAGCCTCATTCTCGACATTTTATCTCTCAGCTCCGATGGAGGTGACCGACACCACGAACACACTCATTTGCCTCCCCGACCTGGTGGTGCGAGCAACAAAGCTTCGAAAAAGCTAGGTGGTTGTTGCGCAAGCGCAGCCCGCTCGCCAGGACTGTTTTCCATCAATTTTCTTTTTATTCCAGCCAACTTTGACAGCTCATAAAGGTCAATTTACAATCACGCGACACAAGTGCAACAAATGAAGACAAGAAACAGTTCTTCGTCCGCCCATCTCCGTTTCCTATTTTGAGCGCATTGTATTTAAATAGACTTCCTTTTTAATTTAATTTGATTTTAATTCCTTTTCCACCCTCATTTGGAGTGCTTCGTTCAAGTTGTTACGTGTCAACTGGTGCTTAATGTTTGTATTAAACAAATATTAATGAAATTAATTAATTTTTTTATGGGTTTAAGATGAAGAAAAGGAAGGTCAAAAAGTCAATGCACCACATGTGAGCTGTGGCTGAAAGCAGCGGCAGCAGGAGCACCCATGCATGGCTGGATACCCCGTAAAAAAACAAACCCATCATTTCTTCATTGAGATCCATCAATGGAGTCCCAGTCAACTCAACGAGGAGTAACTACCAAGAATCCTGCTTCCCAGTCTCAGTTCTAGCTCAGAAAAACAAGATCCGATCCACCGCTGCTTGTCTCTTTTTCCCTTTTATTTGTTTATTAAAAAGGATTAAAGAATATTTTGTTTTTATATTTAAAAAAAATTAATTTTTTTAATTTTAAATTATTTTTTAAAATATTTTTATATTGTGATAATAAATCTAATATTAAAAATAATTTTTTTAATAATTTTTTTTTTAATATATTTTTAAATAAAAAATATTAAAAAAATAATTATCGATAAAACAAGCTAATTTCAAGCACTCCTGTGCTATCTCTCTAGAACACCAATTATATGGACAGGGCGACACCTGATGCCAGTCTTTTTTAAAAATTTATTTTCTATATTAATATATTAAAATAATTTTAAATATAAAAATATCTCCCTCTGAAACACAGTGCCAAGCAGGATTTTAATTTCAAGCGTTACCCTCTTATTTACAAATCAAGAAAAGAAAGAAAAAAAGTATTTCATTATATAAAAAGTATTATTTCCCACCGCAAGGAAGGAGCCACATGTCACCTGGAGATTCGTAAACACTCACCGCCCAATCTCAAGTCTCCACCTTGATTTTTTCATTTTCCTTTCCTTTGTAGTATATGCAAGATTTTCCCTCTCTCAATCTCTGGTTCTCCCTCAAAAACGAAAATGGCAAATTCTCTGATACTAGCAGCAGCTGCTGCTAACAAGTCACTCCTAGCAGCACCATCTCACTGCCACTCTTTCTCATTACACTCAAATTGCCCTCCTCCTCAGCACACTCAATCATTTCCATCCAAGGCTTTCCTCCATCTTCACTCACTCTCTCTGACTTCACTTCATCGCCGACTCATTCCAGTTCCTGCTCTTGACTCTGACGTCCCTTACCCTCTTGACCAGGTAATTTACTGCTCACTCTAAAACCTTATGATTTGTATTGATGGTGACGACTTTGTGTTGGATTAAGGATTTTGTTGTTTGTGTTTTGAAAAGGGTTCAACAGTGAAGGTAAAGAATAGTAGAAGTAAGGAAATTGAAGAATGGGACTCTTGGACAGCCAAATTCTCTGGAGGATCAAATGTCCCTTTTTTGTTACTCCAAATGCCTCAAATCATTCTCAATGCAAAAAATCTTATGTCTGGAAATAAAACTGCCCTTTTGGCTGTACCATGGCTGGTAATTTTCTCACCTTTCCCCCTTCCTTTTCTTCTATTTATTTTACTCACTCATAGCTTCTTCGTATACCTGATTAATTGAGTGATACCCATAATTTCCCACCTTTTGTTTTATCTCATTCCCTTTTATGATCAAATGGGATGATTGCTATCCCGTGACCTGAAATGGGCATTTTGAGACGACTGTTTTATTAGCTGTATTGAAACGGGGAACTCTGAGTTTGCATAATGCAGGGGATGTTAACTGGGCTGCTTGGAAACCTTTCATTGCTTTCCTACTTTGCGAAAAAGAGGGAAACCGAGGTTATTGTGGTGCAGACACTGGGAGTGGTTTCGATTTACGTTGTAATTGCCCAGCTTGCAATGGCAGAGGCCATGCCTCTGCCTTACTATATGGTCACTTCAGTTGTTGTAGCAACTGGCTTGCTATTAAATTTCTTGAATTACTTTGGAATGCTCAGTGCTGGAATCTGGCGCTTTTGGGAAGATTTTATCACTGTTTGTGGATTGTCGGTCCTCCCTCAGGTACCCCATTTTCTGTCTCACCTTTACACACCTCTAAATACCTATGCACCTATGCCTTTTCTCATCTTTATGTGTTCATCTTGGCTGTTGTGGGATTAAAAATATCGATATACTCTTTTAAGTATTCATGAAATATTATTTCAATGGTTTTGTAAATTTGACTGCAGGTTATGTGGTCTACATTTGTCCCATATATACCAAACTCCATTTTGCCAGGGGTAATATCTTTTGTCACAGCAATCGCAGCTGTTGTCATGGTAAGCTTTTTGGGTTTTATTCAGCCTTTGGTTAGTCATGTTTGACTCTTAAAGATTAGCAAAGAGAAAGCATGTAGAAGTGGATGATTTAATTCTGTTTGAATGGAATTTGCTTCTAAGTTTTACTAACTTAAGCTCAAATGATGGGCGATGCTGTAAACATTCGTAAAGAGGACCGATTGAGTACAAATTTTATAGCTGATAGCAAATATGTTCATGCCTGCATCCTACATGTCTATAATGGTTTTTAAGATTTCAGGCTTTTAATGAGTAATGACAATGAGATGATACTGAATTAATTAGCTCGTGATGCCTAGCAAACCTGTTTGAAACTCGTGTTTAGATTTATAATTTTGCAATTTCCTTCCCCTTTCTTTGTTTTTTACAGGAAATCTTCCTTTTGATTCAGCACCCCTTTAGACTTACCTGCTAAGTTTTGCAGGCACGAACAGGAAAACTCTCTGAAAAAGGTGTAAAATTTGTTGGAGGAATATCTGGATGGACAGCAACACTTCTCTTCATGTGGATGCCAGTGTCACAAATGGTAATACATGTGGTCTTTCTCTGAGAATTTGGCTTATCAAATCAGGCATTTCATCTTTGCATCCCTGACCAAGACTCATGCTTCTCATTCAGTGGACGAATTTCCTGAATCCTGATAATATTAAAGGTTTATCGGCTTTCTCAATGCTGCTTGCTATGATTGGAAATGGACTTATGATCCCTCGTGCCCTTTTTACTCGTGACTTCATGTGGTACTGCTTTTTACCCCATCATTCTCCATGCCTCTCATTTTTCTACAGATAAGATATACCCATGTTAATGCTAAACTTTCTAAAATTTGATAGTTATAAGCAATCTTAGTTTTTCAGTGATCATCTCACATGCTAATACCTTATTCCTATAATAAGTATCGTTGATTTACTTCATTTTTAATACTCTCAACTCTTGAGAATTCTCAATATGCTTGCTTTTCTTGACTACAAAAAGGAGTCAGGAAAAGGGACTCCGACCAGTCTGCTACATTGTTTAGACATGTCTCAACATTGTATTTTATTTGACAAGAACTTTACTCATCAGTTGTGTATCACCACAATGCTCCATAACTGAGAGCTGCTAACAGTAATTCATCACCAAAGAATAGTAAAATGACATCAACACAAAAGTTTTTATTAAAATCCTGAAAACACGGGTGGGGTTGGGGAAGAAAATGAGAGAAATGGCTTTTGTAGGTAAAGTTAGTCTTTTTTCATAGTGAGAATGGTGAGGAGGCTGCTCTGTTGCCAGGTTAATAATGACACTTCTGATTTATAAATCTTAATCTATACACTCTAGGGGGGCACTAATCATATTAAACACTTCATCTTCTTGATATGTCTTTGATATTTCAGTGCATTAGATTATCCATCTTGAGATTAATTTCCGGATCTGACAGATGCATGTTCACCTTTTGCAGGTTCACTGGTTCTACATGGGCTTCCCTTTTCTATGGTTATGGGAATATTTTATGCATGTACTAGTAAGTTATCTTCTGTTAGTGAATCTTCATCTGCAATTGCTAGCTATTTTTCTTTTTTTCAGACTTAGCAACTGAAGAACTTCAATTATGATGCAGTTTCAACAGCGTCAGTGGGAAATTTCTTTTGGCAGCAACAGCTGGTTTGGTTTCCTGGATAGGTAGCCCCTCTCCTTGTATAGTTTATGTTTGGAATTTAGCATAGATAACTCCCTACTCTGCCCCTGCGACCCAACCCCACATGCCCAGAAAATAGTGGGCAAGTAAGCAATATTCTACACTTATGCGGAGCTTGTGATAGCGCTGAACATAAAAGTTTCCCTTCATTACAGGTATGGCTTTGTGGAGAGACACTGTAGTTTATGGATACAGCTCACCTCTTAGGTCTTTGAAAGAGTTGATTTTTGGCTCTTGAATTCCTAAGTCATGCTCCAATGGCGCGTAAATAAGATGAAGCAACCTGATCTATCATCTTGACTGTTTTACGTTTTATGAAAACTCATCTTCACCGATCACTGTTGAGATGCCAGTGCTCAGTTAAGATTACTACTCCAGCCCTTGGTTTAAGTTTGCTACTAGTCTGGCTATGGAAATTTGCTACATTCGTTTGCACTTTGAGATAAAAATTATAACTGGAGAGGATGCTGTATGGGAATCACATTCGTTTGCACTTTGAGATAAAAATTAGGATGAGTATGTTGTAATTGATATTGTAATAATACAATATTATTGGTTGACCTATACCAAAGCGCATTGAAGTTACCTGAGAGGAGCAAATAATTCTTGCAAGTTAAATAAAATGTACAATTAATTTCAGATTATTGGTGAAGTGTTCTATCAAAGCTCCTACATGTATTTGTGATGTTATTGTTTCTTCAAATCCCAGGATAGAGCAAGAGTGACGGCCTGCTACCCGAATACAAGCTGCTGATAATAACAGGGCTAACATCAAAAGCAGCAAATAGAATTAGCAATTGAATGCGTGGTGATCAGTAGTCATAAACTGAAGAATTGTTTGCCAAGTTCACTGAGCATGACCAATGGCTTCTGAAGGGAGAGAGATTGGTTACAGATTTTGACAAATATAGCTGCGGGGAATGGGCTTGAAATTGAATTGATGATGTTACTTCGAGGAACTACGAGATAGACAGTAGTTCCAGGAGATTTAAGATACCGAAAGTGGAGTCCATAAAGCGCATCGGTTGAGGTGCTTCCTCCTCTGTAGTAATAGCATTACGTCAGAGAAATTATCCAAGGGAGGAAGCATGATAGTAAGAGTAAATATGTACTATAGCATTGATTTTATTTATGTAAAAAATATTTATTGTTAATAATTTTTTTAATATTTATTTGTATTGGACTAATAAATTTAATATTTAATTAATAAATTTAGAATAAAGTTGAAGTTCATAACAAAAAAAATTTATAAAGAAAATTATGAAGTTATAATTACAATATTCTAATTGTATTGAAGTATTGTTCATAAATGTTCTTAATTAATGTTTAATTAAAATTATATATTAATTAAAGTTGATGAGACTGATTTATATTATATTTTTTTATTATAAAAAAAATAGTTGCTTTCATAAACTAAAATATGAGGGATATTTGAATTTGATATGTAAGTGATTGTTAAATGATATGTACATTAAACTGACAAGCAAGAGAATTTCATATAGAAAGATCATCTATATCTATGAAAAGGCACATGATAATTGTGTAAGTGATCCTTAAATTTGATATTACTAAATTATTTTATATAAAAAATGTTATGCTTTGATTAAGATCACATGTTGTCCTAATTAAGAGTAACAAACAGATAGATATTAAGTATATCATAAATTATATGAAGATATTTAAGTAATCAAAAGATGATTTATCATCCTAGGTGAATTAGATAAAATATTTTATATGCTCTCAAGGTCGAATAAGTTTTGAAAAGAATTGTAAAATCTTATTTAAGGAATTATTGACTATAATGTTGAAAACTAACATGATTTAACAAAACAAATATACTTCATGCTATAATATCTAAATCGATACATTCATGGTGAAGGGATAATCATTACATTGAGAAATTAGTTATTGAAAAGTTAAGTTGAATTATTTATGATTTTTTTAATATTTAAAGATCATGATAGGTTGTTAAACATTATACTTGATCTTTAAATATAAATATATTAATTGTTGAGTTGATAATAAATTAATTTTTTTAATTTAATTTAATTTAGGTTTATGATTTATATCTGTTAGAGAATCTAATAGGTTACACATATAAAAATTATTAATCAAAAATTAAAATAAGATGATTAATCATGTGTGACTTGATTGTAAATAAATTTTAGAAATTAAGGATTAAAATGTAATGAAGAGTATAACAACATTTCTTTAAAGTTGCTTTATTTTGAACAAAATTATATAATTACAGAGTTTATAGGAGATATCAACATAGCAAATAAATAGTTGAATAAAAAGAAACATAAGAAGTGGAGTTGTTGTTTATATATTTGTAATGTAGTTAATTTAGGAGTTCTTAGAAGTATAGTGAGGTTTTTTTAATGAATTATAAATCTCAATTAAAACCATTTGACTTGAGCTATTAAAGGGTAAATTTTGTTATAATCTTGTAGGTACAAAAGCAACAACCTAATTGAAAAACTATGTGTATAATAAAATCAAAGGTTTTTCTCAATTGTTTATTAACAAAAAACAAAAGTACTTTAGCAATTAAATAAGATAATTCCTATATCTTGCATAAATTGACATGACCAAATAGCATTATAATAAGAAGAATGAGGAATCAATAACTTATTATGTTTTGTCATATATTTACATTTATTTTGGTTAGAATTTAGAGTACTATAGATATAGGCTAAACTTTTATATTTGATAAGAAAGGGCATCTAGTAATTTGTATAGGTCATTCTATGAATTCTTTAGAGTTAAAATTAATGGGTTTTTATTTACTAGATGAATCCTTGTAGTTAGAAGTTAAACATTCTCATAAAATATCTAAAAAGAAGGCATCGATCTGAAAATAGAGAGATCACAAAATAAATAAATAAATAAATAAAAATATGGCATTCAAATATCATATCTCTTATACACTATGACATTTTAATTTTAGAATCTTTCAGAAACTAAATTAAACAACAGAGTTCTTATTTCTTATCAAATCACCTTCTATTTAATTGCATGTTCTCATTGTTAGATCTATTATTAGTATACAAGTGGTAAATACAAGCAATATAAAACTTCTCTATAAACTTGCTGATGATACTTGAAAAAAAAAGAAGTTATACATTAAGATGATAGTTAGCCTTAGAGATAATTACAATGCACGGAATTGTTTTTCAAAAATAATTATACTTGTATAAGGATGTTTAGTTTATTATAACAAAAGCATTTAAAACATAGAAGATATTCTAAATTTTGTAAAATTTTAAATCTATAAGTAAGTAAATTAAAAATTCATGGCAAACATACTTTAACACAAATATAATAATAGAATTCTAGTATGCATACCAAGCATGTATTCAAACTTGCAATTGATATCAAATCAAAGATGTAACATGCATACTAATAATATAATAGAATTTTAACATACATGTGTGTGTGTGTGAAGTAAAACAAAGGTGATACGCATACATGTGTGTGTGAAGTAAAACAAAGGTGATACAATCAAGATTGCACCAAAAGATTAATTGTAATTTTTAATTAGGTTAATTACATGATAAAAGGCAACGAAGCTAAAAAATATATTAAATGGGTTTATTCAGAATATTTGGGTTAAGATGGGTTTTATGGAGGATACATCAATAAGTGAATATAAAACCTTAGTCAAATTAATTCATGCATAAAAATGGTTCGATCTATTTACTTTATGAGTTAATTAACTTCAACAGTTAAAGACTTATTTTTTTGAATGTATAATTTTACTCTAACAAACATAATTTTTCATTTGACCATTGTATTATGCCAAAATTTTACCACAAGTTTTTAGAGGTCTTCTCTATATTATTTTAAAATTTCATGGCAATCGAATATTGGTATGGCCTTATAATAAGATTCATAAGCTACTATGTGAGAATTGAGTTAGTTTTTGCTGTTGATTTATGATTCTTTTTTTTATTTTATTTAGAATTCTTTTATTATTTTGTTGATTTATGATTCTTTTTTCTATTTTATTTAGAATTCTTTTATTATTTTTCTAGTATTATTTAGGATATTTTTGCATATTGTAAATAAAATCATTTAGCGTGTATTTAGAGCTTTTTTTTAAGGAAAGACTTTGATTTTAACAATTATTATTGTGCGAGGTTTTGCTCATACTTTTTAATTCTTCATTTAACTACTCTGACTTATCAAATAATTAATCAAGCTTTATAATATTTTTTATACTTCTAGTTCACATCTCTTTATAAGTTTTAGGTAAGGCTTTCGTTACTTATAGTATTGGTATCTAGGTACAAATTATTGTTGTGTCAAGTTCAATTACAAACTTGATATTACCTTTTTGTTTGAAGAGTTAATTTGATTATGAGTTTTTGGATCTTTATATCCACGGGGTTCTTATCAATTGATATCAAAATAAGACTTTAAATCAGGTTATATATCTTTTATCTTTGAGTTTTTCATATGCTCTATTTTTGTCAAATTATTTATCTTCTCTAAAAATTAGTTGTGGCATCTATTTTTTTTTTTAAAAAATAGAAATTATTTGCGATCTTGGTTAAATAAAGTCTTATAAAAAAACAAAAAAAATCACAAAAAAAAGAGATTTTTAGGGTGTGCCTTAAATCTTGATTTTTGGGGTTTCTTAGAGTTAAATCTTGATTTGGGATATTTTATGTTTACTTAGATGGGTTTTTTGAAAATTACAACAACAATAACAAAAAACATCTAGTTATTGCATCATTGTTTTTTTAGTGTTAGCCATCATGTGCGCGTGTGTGTAAGTGCTTCTGTTATTTTGAGTCATTTAAATCTTATTCCATTAGTTAATTTTTGTATTTTTTTTATCTTTGTATTGTTCATATTTCGCTTGAATTCGTATCGATACCCGTGTTTTTATATTCATAGGTAATGATAGTTTTTAGTCTTTATTAATTCTTGAGTCTTTATATTATTTAATTGTATCATTAAGATATTAATATTTGATTTGTTATGAACTAGTTTCTTAAAGATATGGAATCTTGAGAATTGAGTAGTAAAAGTCGAAGGAGAGCATCTTAAATGAAAAGCCAAAACTTTATATATATATATATATATATATTATGTATTGCTACTAATTTAATTTTCAGTTTACATGATGTCAATAAAGAGTAGATCATCACCACCAAAAAATAAGAATAATCTTGAATGAAGTTATTTGGTTATGCAATAATAATTAGAGTTGATGAACACAAGGTTTATTGAATTCA